GCAGCATTTGATCATTGGTGGGTCAGTTTAGGAGTGGTGCTCCGAATTCCATCATTGTAAGTCCATGTGGCTAGCGCCATTTCGGCAAGAGGTAAAATGCTTTAGGAAGGAACCCACCCAGGTTAACTTGTTCTGCAAGAATAGTTCATGAGTTTTTCATGTAAAGGTGTGGGAAAAGTGTTCACTACACCCAGTACCTGAAGAGAGGTACATTGAGGGATGTTTCCCGAGCAAAGCATCAATGAGATCGGTGGTCGGTGGCATTTTGGTGAAAAGTCAATTGTGACACTTTTTAAGGCTGAGAATGATAAACTCCATTCCGCCACCCAGTGCTTCAAATGATCCAGAGCCTGTTGGGCACAGTGGGCTGCCAAGGTTGACTTAGTACTGGAGGCAATGATAGAAAGGTTGTCTGCATAGAGTTACATCTTGAGGGAAGGCTGTCCATAGATCTACCATGTAAAACATGAAGAGGAATGGGACAAGCACACTCCTGTGGTACGCCCTGTGAAAAAGCATGGGCAGTTGACAACTTTCCCTGCCAGTGGATCTAGATTGGAGAAGGAAAGATGACAGCCAGGTGAGAAGTCTCCTGCCAATACCATAGGACTCCAGTTTGGCCAGGATACCTGGCAGGCAGACCGAGTTGTAGGCCCCCTCTATGTTGAGAGTGGCCATGTACACCCATCTCTTTTGAGCCCAGGCCATTGCAATATGGTGATGTATGAGGATGAGGACATCCTCTACCCCTGTAGGGGAGGAAACCGAAGTGATTACGGTGAAAGAAGTCTGAGTTAATTGCAAAGGTATGGATATAATGCATTACCATTCGTAGTAATTCAAACACAAATTATTATTGTATTTATTTTCAGGCACTTGGCAATTTTTATCATCAAATTTTATTTAGTTGATACGTGTTGATATTATTTACACACGTTTCGGGCATTTATTGCCCTTCCTCAGCCAACTTTTTAATTTACAGGTTATCAAGATATTAAAACCACAAATTTCCATTACCTATGTTTACTTGTTGTTATGGAATTACAAAAACTTCTTGGCCCTTAACACACTTTACTCTTGCAGTTTTTCTCTGTAATTGTTGTTTTGTTGACCCTTATCCATTTTTTGATGATTGTTGTCGTTTCAGCTTTGGAATTCTTATTCTGGTACTTTGAAACCGTGCTAGTAGTGAAAATAAATACAATAATAATTTGTGTTTGAATTACTACTAATAACTACTAGCACGGTTTCAATACCAGAATAAGAATTCCGAAGCTGAAACAGCAACAATCATCAAAAAATGGATAAGGGTCAACAAAACAACAACAATTACAGAGAAAAACTGCAAGATTAAAATGTGTTAAGGGCCAAGAAGTTTTTGTAATTCCATAACAACAAGTAAACATAGGCGATGGAAATTTGTGGTTTTAATATCTTGATAACCTGTAAATTAAAAAGTTGGCTGAGGAGGGGCAATAAATGCCCGAAACGTAAATAATATCAACACGTATCAACTAAATAAAATTTGATGATAAAAATTGCCAAGTGCCTGAAAATAAATACAATAATAATTTGTGTTTGAATTACTACTAATAACTACTAGCACGGTTTCAAAGTACCAGCATTACCATTCATTCAAATAGCTTGGCCACATGTGCTGTTATCAAAACTGGTTGATACAATGCACAAGACATTGCCAGGCAGTCTGGTTTGAGAATCGGTATAACTTGTGCTGTCTTCCACTCAGGGGGCTTGCCCCTGAGGACTAGGCTCAGTTTAAGAGATTGAGGAGGGCAGAGTCCCACTTGCAGGAGAACCTGCAGGGACCCATGCACCCATCCAGGCCTGGCATTGAGTTGCACAGACTGCAGAGTGCTCGCCAGAGTTCCAGGATGTGAAAGGGTCCATTGTCAGCTCATGCCGTCCCTCAGCAGGGAGTTCGGAGGTGGGGCAAAAGCTCTTGTCAGGAGGGTTCATGTGAAATAGATAGCTAGAGTTTCTGCTTGCTGTTTTGGAAAAATTAGCGTGGTGGTGAACTGGATTATGTGATGGGTAGCCTTAGGCTTTGGGGGCTTGCAAACGACAAAATATGCAATAGAAAGTGGCCTGGGAGGGAGGGAGGCACACAGCGACCCCACCACTCCCAACAAGACTGGCAAGATTTCTGCTGGAGTAGCACTCCCAGTTGATTGTACTTGTCCCACCAGATGTGTGACGCTGATTGCCTGGCTTTCTGGAAGGCTCGATGCTTCCTGGCCCTGATTTGGCTACATTCCAGTGTCCACCATGGTGGTTGCCCCTAATGGTGGAGGGAGAACATCACCATGTATTCCACTTCCACCTCTCTTAGCTGGCAGATGAAAGAGCTGTACAAAGTGGATTGGGCCCATCTGGAAGCCAGAGTTGTGCTGTCCTTGCAGAGTAGCCATTCCAGTTCGTGGTGTGACAGCAGCGTGGATGAGCATGCAGGTAGTTTTTACCTGGGAAAGTTAGTGAAAGTAGGATAGGTGCATAGTTGCTGGTCAGCCTGTCGAGACTCATACACCACATAGCTGAACCCATCAGATGGGGGAGCCAAACGTCAAGTCTATTGCTGATGAGTCAGTTGGTTGGAAGTGGATGGGTCCCGTGTTCCAGTAGCACGAATGCGTCTCCCTGAAAAATTTCTATCTGTTTATGACACGTCTATTAGAGATGTCTCAAGAGAGCAAAATTAGAAAAAATGTCCCGTCTATAAAGGATGGACTTTTATCCAAATATATATAAAACATAAATTACTGATGTTTACATTTTAATTCTTCCAATTTCTCCCATGTTTTGCAGTATGACTGTGTGTATTTCTTTTTGGTCACCATAATGGTTTTGAATAATAGGAAAACTGTTTCTAACCAAACCAAACCAAAACAAAACGTAAATTAACCTACAAAAAGTTTCAATTTATATTCATTCTTTCAATTAGTTACCTGCATAACTATAAAATTTGTTTTATTACTTACATTTAAATATTTCCTGTAGTTTTAACAATTTAACATCAAAGATCAAACTCACAAAAGCTTGTAAAATCACACATGTTATTGCTGGGTTCTGGCACAGACTAATTACGTAACAAAGCTAGGTAATTAGTCTATAGTGCTGGTTGACCCCATTTCAAGTGAAGAGGCCGGCAATGATAAAATTAAGAAATTCTCAAAGTAAATGCAAAATTTTAAGTTTTAAATGTAATCCCTAAAAATTCTCTATAAAAAATAATCATCCTACATTTTTCCCTAAAAAAATCTTCTCCCTAAATTCCCCCTAGACTCGAAAGTAACCCCTAAATCTAGGATAAAAAACCCTAACTTGGCAACGCTGGAAACATATACTGAACTACAAGCAGCACCACCTAATGGAAAACTAAAATGGTGTAAAACGCACCGTGAAAGGCAAGAAATCGTTAATCTGACAACTTTCTTATCTTTGGTCTCTGGTCCAAAAGTAGTGTACTGTTGAACTTGTCTCAGTCCCGAGTTCAGATATATACTGAAAGTCCCAAAATTCCATAGGGCGAAATCTATGTAATATCCACTTATTTGAGCTCATGTAATCAGTTAGTTTGCAGAGGATGTTATTTAATTTGTATTGCACTGCTTGGGGGTTGTTGTTGGAATGTATTAGGACAATATCATCTACATATGCTATTACTTTTGCTTCTGGTATCACTTCAAATAAGTCACTTAAGCAAATATTGAAGAGTAATGGTGCAAGTATTGATCTTTGGGGAATTCCGGTTTTTGGTGAGAAGCTTTTTGAATACACATTATTTACTTTTACTTGATATCTTTGGTTTAACAGATACATTAATTAACCATTGAAGAGGCACTCCTCTTAAGACAGTACTAGTTTTTTTTTTCAAGAATCCAGAGGTCTATGCTGTCAAAAGCTTTTGGTAAGTCTGGAAACGAGGCTATTACTGAATGAGATTTGTCTAAATTGTTCATAACTTCCTGTTTGAAATGTAATAATGTGTCTATTGTGAAGAAGTTTTGTCTGTAAGCATATTGATGACAGTGAATCACGTTTAAATTGGCAATGTATTTCCAGAGTTTTTTTTTTATAGATTTTCTCGATTATTTTTACTAGCACAGGGATGATGATAATAGGACAGTAATTTTCTATATCACTTTTAGACCCTTTATTTTTGTATATTGGTATGACCATATTATAATTTAATTTATTCAGGAAGGTTCCTGTTTTGAAGGATTTGTTTATCAGAAAAGATAGAGGATTAGCAATGATATCTGCTGTTGCTTTAATTATGTCCATATTTAAGTTATCTATGTCTGGAGTATGTATTTTTAAGTTCATTATTATATAATAGACTTCATTTACAGTTATATCCTCCAGTACAAAAGATTTACGGTTCTCGTAGACAAATTTGACTGTAAGGATTCCGTTCCATGCACTATTTAGATATTCTGTGAAAATTTCGGTTATGAATTCAAATAGAATGACCTGAATATATTATCACAGTTTAAACTGTATATTATAGAACATACAATTTAACTTGTGATTCAAGAACTTGCTGATAACAGTGAATTAAATCTTGATTTAAATCTCAAGTTAACTCAAGGATGTTCAGATGTTCAAATCCTTACCTCCAATGACTAGTGATTTTCAGTGCTGTCTGTCCAAGTTGTGCTAAATTTGCTTCTTTATCAAAACTGAAGGACGACTCATAGCATACCAATAATTACAGTATGCTCATACCTTTAAATAATTTGTTTAAACTTTACTGTGTACCAAATGTATTATATGCACACCAACATAAGCCAGTTAGAATTGAGCTTCAAAGAAAGTTGAAAAATCATTGTTATACAGATATTGTATTCAATAAATAAAGGTCAATTTGAAAAGTTGGAGATTAATGTTAAGTTTAAAATTACAATATTTAATAATTAATGTGTCAAAATTATCATTGAAATAATGTGTATTTAAGCTGAAAATAAAGTTTTTCAATAAACTTTATAAAACTTGGCATTTATTTCAATAACCATTTTTTTTTTTAAAATAAGACATGATCATACTGTATTTGTCAACAAAACTTTTGAAGACATGACTTGCTCCAACATCTGCAATATGGATGAATGTTATAAGACTTCAACAGAAGTCAGCAGTGATATACAAGTGCATTACATTTTTTTTTTTGCAATTAACATTTTAATATAACAAAATCATATTAAAATTTCCTATAAATTAACAATTAGTTCATTCATTATATAAATTATTATAATGAAATGAATAGTCAAATTTATAGGTATTAAACAATGATGTAAGCAAATTTATCCCAATATGTTTATTTTATAATAGATGAATTTGTATCAATATCAACTGAGAATAAGTGTAATGAACAATGTGCACTAAATAAATTATGAACAATTCAAATCATGTTTCTATCATCAGATAACTATCATACTACTGAAAATGCACTACTGTCTTTTACAATCTCAGTTCTTTACAAATTATATGATGCTGGATGTGGCAACTTAATTTTTGAAACAAATATTTACTATAATAGAACAATTTCTCATGATATTACACACATCCCTATGCTATTTCTGGAGCAATATACTAATCCAGTCTTCAGAAAGGTTTTACTATATTACAACATCATTGAGGTGGAGGTGCACCTATAGATGTTGGAGGATGCACAGGCATTGGCATACCTATTCCAGAATGTGGAGTGGTGGATACTGCAGCACTAGGTCCTAATAATATCTGTAAAAAATATTTAAATTTTTAATAATATATATAAAAATACAAATATTGTTTTATTGTGAACAGTAATAACATATTCAAAATAGCTCAAATATTATATCAATACAGTATATACAAAATATTCACATTAATGAAAATGAATATAATGAAAATATTTATAAATTATTTTTATCAACAAAATCTAATTGATCTTTTGAAGAAACATGATAACAAGGAAATATTTCGTGTTTCTTCAGAAGAGGCAAATCAGATTATACTCACAAGTCAGAACAACTTATATACAGTATAATATATCAGGTATTATTATTTGTAAATGTTGAAAATAATTATATAACTGAAAAAACTACAGTTGAAATAGTTTCTTAAATGTTCATATAAAAAATACCCAGCTTAGAAGTTTAATAAAGGAAAAATTTATAACTTGAATTGTATTCATGTCATATTGGAGTAGTTGTGTATTTTATGTTGACATTTGTGAGAAATGCCATACCTTGGCACTGCAGACAGAAGGTAAATTTTTCATCAATTTATAAGTTTTCTATTTATACTCCTTTCTTTTATTAACCCTGAACATCCTGTATTTAAAACACCTAAAATATCAAAAATTCAGGATCATCTTTCTTAATTTTTTTATAAGGTTATAAGTTTTCATTTTCTCTTCTCAAAACTGCAATTACCAAAAACGCATGGATGATTCTCTTTCATTGTTTTGCAGTATGAACACTTATGGAAAGAGAATAATAGAAAATGGAAAAGAGAAAATACTCATTCTCTTCTCTTTTCCATTCTCACAAAATATGAATTGGCCTTAATAACTACTTTATCCATTGTTTGCAGGCAAGTTATTCTGTGAGTGAATTCTGAATACAGTAGATCCCCCTATAAAACCGTTTCCTATAGTTATGATTCCTATAAAAATTGTGGCAGTATCCGTAAACAACGGTAAAAATAACTCCTATAATACGTAAAACGTCATCGGGCAGCCGAACTACTTTCCCGCCGTCCGTAGCGCCACGCTACGGA